CCAGCCACTGCGCTCAGCTCGATGAGACAAAGAATCAACACCAGCGCTTGCCGTCGGCCTCTGTCAGCCATTATCCACATGGAGGCCACCATAAATCCAACAGTGCAGACACAGCGATTGTTTTTTAACTTCGAACTGATGTTATTAATCTAAAAACTCGACACATTTATGTATTTTCAGCAAGCAGACTCCCGGAGAGATTCTACACTTGAATCCGTAACGGATCAGAGCAGCGTCTCGCTTAGTATTATAACACTTAGTGAATATAAAAGGGAGGACCGCTGCATTAAGGCTCTGACACAAACTCAGTGACGCATCAACAGCGGCACTTAGAGCTCATTCACGGTAATGTATCTTGTAGAAGCTTAAATACTTTTATATTCCAGAAATATTTGATTGACAAAGTGAAGAATAATTAGAGAAGAGCTCGAAAGAAAAAGGAGCATTAGATTCTCAAACAATCTTCAGGTCCTGTTCAAACAAAGTGTCTTCAGTATGAGATGACAATGTTACCAAATCTAACTTAACTTTAATTTTCTTATCATCTCAATGCATTATTAAAAAAAACCAACAACAACTACAACACTGACTATTAACACTTTAATAAATGACATAAAACAGCATGAACGTTAAATGGACAAAAAAGTAGTAAAGTCGAAATGATTATGGATAGTCTGGAAGTGAGGTTAAGCTCTCTTTTAACAACTTTTCTATTTAAAGGGTCTATTTTGTTTCCTTTCTTACTGCTACAAAAACACAGAAATATATGGTTTATTGATTAAATTAGAGAGACGCCATTAAAAAAGTTGTAAAATCATTAACAAACCCTTTAATGGTTGAAGTATTTGTTAAATAATATCATAGTATGGATGAATATGTCTGCCAAAAAGAACACAGGGAAAATAAAGTGCCATTTTAACAAAATATTTATTTTATTTCCGTTGGTAATGATAAGCGAGGTTAAATTAAAGAAAATATTATAATAACTGGGCCATTTAAACAGGAGTCGAAATAAAATGGGTCAGTTGACCGTTTCAGCACCACAAACAGCGACATTAACGCGCATCTCTCTCTCTCTCTCTCTCTCTCTCTCTCTCTCTCTCTCACACACACACACACACACACACACACACACACACACAAGAAAAAAAGGGATCTTAACGGTTTAAAAAAATGACTCACCAAAGTAGACATTTGGGAACAGTTGCCTGACAGTTGCTTATCCACTTGTGGTACATCGTCTCCAGCTCCATCCACACTCACTAAACTTTGACTCATCGGTTGCATATATTTCATGTCACTCTTTCTGGAGTCAGTCGTCCTGCACACCTCGTAGTTGTACACATGTGGCAGAGTCCCTGTGCCCAAAGTGTCTGAGTAACGTGGTGGATAATATGGAATGACAGGCAGGTTGGAGTGATACAGGATGCGAGACTGTCTCCACCTGTAGATTTTGACTGATATAATAAC